AATGAAGAATTATTCACTGTGGTAAAAAAAACCCTACCCTTTTGTGTTGCCGACCTGTCCCAAAGAAAATTAAGAAAGACCACCCAACTGCTATGATAGTAAAATATGCAAGCAATTTATTTATTTATTTGTTATCTTTATGTTGCTGTACTCCAGAATGGCTCAAAACTGTACAGTCTGAAAAAGGAGAGCATGCTGGGAGATGTTTCACTCGCCGCTCAGATGAAACGCACAGGTTGGGATGTGTTTGTTGCTTCTGCTGATGTGCCAACCACCCAACCCAACTTCAGTTCTCCTGGCAGACCTCGCCAATTGGAAATATAACCCAGAATAACCAGGTGGGAAGGGAACTCCGAGGTCTTCTAGTCCAGCCCCCCTCCCCTCTGCTCAGTCAGGAAACCGTATACCATTTCAGACAGAGCAGACAAATGTATTTATGGAGCAAGAGAGCACATGTATCAATCCCAACAATATTTTCCAGCCTTGACCTGCACATGTCCCTGAGCACTGTTTGAGCAAGACAGAAATTTATTATGCATTTCTTACGCAAAACGAAAACAAAACTGGATGAATGACTAGGGTTTGGGGGGGGTCTAAGCCAGTGATGGCAAACCTATGGCATGCATAGCAAAGGCAGCACTCAGAACCTTATCTATGCGTACACCTGCTGCCGCCATCAGCTCGCTCAGGTCCATTAGGCCACCGCTGGTGCCCAGAGCGGCAGCCCCACCCAGCACAAAGGAGGTGAAGCAGCTGACTAGCAAGCTTGAGTAGAGGTGGTAGACCATGCGCTCCCTGGCCTCTGTGTGGGAGGGCTGATGGCGTCAGGCAGCAGCCGCCCCTACCTCGCCTTGCCCCACAGCAATGGCACTCCTGCCCTACCCCTGCCTCACCCCACAGGACGAGCCTCCTGCCCACTGCCCCACCCACCAGAAACCCCCTGGATCTCCCCCAATCCTGTCCAACCCCCACAGACGTCCCCCCATGAGCAACATCAAGGTGGCCACGCCCACCCTGGCCATGCCCATTCAGTCTGCCGTGACCACCATAGCCACGTCCACCCACTGGGCCACGCCCACCCCCACCCCCCTGAGGGCAGCACAATGCTGATGCGGCCCTGGCACTTTGCAATAAATAAGTGGGTTTTGGGTTGCGATTTGGGCACTCGGTCTCTAAAACAGTGGTTCTCAACCTGTGGGTCGGGACCCCATTTGGGGTCGAATGACCATTTCACGGGGGTCGCCAAACAACGCAGTCCGCCATTTTTTTCCCCTTTTCCTTAGCTGTGCTACTCCCTTTTATTCTATTGGCTTTTGAAAGCCAATAGAATAGACTCTCTTGAATAGAGTCTAATTCTATTGGCTTTCAAAAGCCAATAGGAATTGTCCAGGCTGTCTCTGCCCTGCTGAGCCCGCCAAAAGTCCCATTCTGCAAACGATGCTGCACCAGTTGAGTAGTCCTCGACTTACGACCGGTTGAGTAGTCCTCGACTTACGACTGGTTGGGGGTCGCGGCATTAAAAAGGTTGAGAACACTGCTCTAAAAGGTTCGCCACCACTGGTCTAAGCGTTCGAAGGCGTGTTCCAGTTGTAGCAATTCACAGTTGTGGAGCTGCAGAAATCAAACAAGGGGCTGCAATATCAAGGGAAGGCTGTTCCTGTTCCCATAACGTTCCACATTACTAAATCAGGCAACCCCATTTACGCCTTGTAGGCCAACATTCTGTGGAAAAACCAGCTTGTAATTTCTGCATTTTGTGCTATGTTGGCAACCTGGTCATAAACACTACAGATTTCACGAAGATCCATCCACAGATGCAAAGTCTGTAAATGACATATCTTCAGCAAATTGTCTGTGTACCGGTGGCCCTCGACTTACGACCACGATGGAGCCCCAACTTTCTGTTCTTAGGTGAGACCTTTCTGAAGTGAGTTTTGCCCCCTTTTACGACCTTCCTTGCCACCATTGTTAAGTGAATCACTGCAGTGGGTAAGTTAGTAACCTGGTGGTTATGTGAATCTGGCTTCCCTGTTGACTTTGTTTGTGAGAAGGTCTCAGAAGGGGATCCCGGCACACGGCAACCGTCATAAGTATGTTCACATAATCATGGGGATGCTACAATGGTCGTAACCAGTTGTGGGATTCAAATAGGTGAACAACCAGTTCTCTGTGTGGATGCCACTTCCGGAAGTCCGTTCTGGGCCTGGGCAACCAAAAATTAGCTACTGGAAGTGATGCAAACCGGCTGAATCCCACCACTGGTCGTAACTGTGAAAAACAGTCCTAAGTCATTTTTTTTTAGTCCCATTGTAACTTCGAACCATCATTAAATGAACTGTTGTAAGTCAAGGACTACCTGTATTGCCCTCAGGTGCTTTGGAGGATAGGTCAACCCCCCTCTTCTGTGACAGCCCCTCAAATATTGGAAGACTGCTATCATGTCTCCCCTAGACCTTCTCTAAAACATTCATTGTATGTTTTATCTTTCTAATGCACCTTCCTTAATAATATCCCTTCCTAATAATCCTTCCTAATACTCCTCCCTCTTCCTATTTTTTCCCCACAACAAAACCCTATGACAGTGATGGCGAACCTTTTAGAGACCAAGTGCCCCAAAACCACCCCCACCCCATCCCACCCCCATCCTGCCCCCTGCCCCGCCCCACCTGCCCACAGGGCCACCCGCCTCCATGGCCCGCCACAGATCGCCCAGGTGGCCCAACAGTACCATGGTGGCCACATCCTCTGCCCACGCCCCGCAGCATCATCTGCACACGACAGAGCATGAGGGCGGAGTCTTTCCCCGCTGCCCGGCTGCCATGTCTTGGCTGTGCTGCTTCGCATGGGCTGTGCCCAGGGGTGACTGTCCTCCAGGGGGCTGCTGGTGAGGAGGCCGCAGGGGGAGGCAGGCCTGGGACGATGGCATGCGTGCCCACAGAGAGGGCTCTGAGGCCACCTCTGGCGCATGTGACATAGGTTCGCCCCCACTGCCCTCTGAGATGAGTTGAGCTGAGAGATAGGGACTGGCTGAAGTTCATTCATGTGGCTTACCCCATTTTCTAACCTGTCTAAATAAATTGCCAAGGTGGTTACAGGCCTTTGGCAAGCAGGCAAATGGAAGCTTATCTTACATTTCAAGGGAAAGTGTACATTTATATACAAATAAAGCACGCTCTCTTTGAGCACATTGGACTGCAGTTCCCCTCAGGATGGGCTACTTTGATCTCTGATACTTCTAGCTGGGGGAGGCGGAAGTTACAGCCCAATGCAACCAGAAGAGGCTGAACTGGGGAAAGCAGAGTTTAAGAAAATTAAAACTCTCCGGTAAAAAAAGTGTTTTGACTTCTAGCTTTAGTCAATTCAACGTTAGAACCTGAACAGCAATTCTCAGGCACTAAAGAAAATATTCAAAGGAGTACAATTAATCACCTAAAAGAGAAAACAGGGAGAAAAAATTTGAGATAACAGCTATCCTGCCTAATTGACCTTTATTCTCGAGGAATCGTGAGAGTTAAGGAATACGGGTTGCTGCCCTCTCAAAATAAAGAAAAGCAGACATAATTTTGCAGGATCCAATCTGGGTTGGTCACCAGGACCAGAAGTTGTTGTCTTCTAAGCTTTTGGACACATGCTGGAGCCCACTTCTCTCTAGCAATGTGTGTGCTTTAGGCTATTTGTGAGTCGTATTTATATGCTGCCTGTTGTGTGTGGGTTTTTAGATGTTGATTGGGGTGCTGGCTATTAAGTCATTGGCTGCTGTTTCCTTGTGCTGCCAAGCTCTCGCCTCTTAGTAACTGCAAAACTGAATGCATATTGTTGGATGAGCAGGCACAAAAACAGCCAGGGAAGTGACTGAAACCTGGAAAATGGAACCTTTGTCAGTCAACAGGACTGTTGATGTACCACCAGCTTATCAAGTACTTAGGAGATGAGAGCTTGGCAGCACAAGGAAAAGAGCCAACGACAATAGCCAGCTGTCAACACCACAGTCAACATCTAAAAAGCCACACGTAACAGGCAACGTATAAATAGCACAGATAGAATAGCCCAAAGCACATACACTGCTAAAGAGAAATTCTCTGAGGATGAGCTTCAGCACGAGTCCGGAAACTTGGAAGACAAAATCTCTGGTCTGGGTGAATGACCCAGATTGGATCCTGCAACATTATCCAGACCTAAGCCATATATATTCACCTACTTTTGTGAGACATACTTTTTATACATAAAACCTGCATAAATTTTGAAGCCCACTCTCCTTTAAAAGAAAGCCCAAAGAAAACTAAATGTTTATGTACCACTCTCTAACTTAAGGCTATTGGATGTTGAAAGGATTTACTCTTTATATCCAAGAGTTTATACCATGTTTCCCTGAAAATAAGACCAGGTCTTATTATTATTTTTTCCCTCCAAAAGAGGCACCAGGTCTTATTTTCAAGATAGGCCTTACCTCACCTCTGGCACCAACAGCCCCACCCAGCCGGTCCACTTCTTCTGGGGACGAAGTTCTGCAGCTGCATTCGGGCCTGCATTTTGCAGTCAGGCCTTTCCAGAAGGCTTAAGCAGCTGAGCACCGAGTTATGGATTCAACCCATAGCTTGGTGCTCGGCTGCTGAGGTCTTGCAGAACCGAATCCATAGTTTGGTCCTCGGCTGCAGAGGCCTTCCAGAAAGCCCTGTGACTGAGAAATGCAGGTATGGCTGCAGAAGAGGCCTCAGAAGAAGTGGGCCAGCGAGGAGAGGCCTGGCTGCAAGGGAAGTGGGTGCAGGGTGGGTGGGGTAGCTCCACACGCCCCACTCCCGCCCTAGCTTGATTTTTAAGTGTGTGCCTCACCCCAAAACTAGGCCTTATTTTTGGAATAGGGCTTATATTAGGCCCACCCACAAAAATCAAGCTAGGGCTTATTGTTGGTGTAGGTCAGGGATAGACAACTTTGGCTCTTTTATGATTCGTGGACTTCAACTCCCAGAATTCCTGAGACAGCATGGCTCAGCTTGGAAACTCTCCCTTTCCCTCAGCATGGCTGGCTCAGGAATTCTGGGAGTTGAAGTCCATGAGTCATAAAAGAGCCAAGGTTGCCTACCCCTCATGTAGGCCTTACTTTCGGGAAAACCACGGTATCTTTATAGGGAATCTAGGGTTATTCTAACTTCTAAATTGAAATTGATGATCTCCAACTCTTCAGATATAAACATCTTTTTGAAAAATTGTTCTCTTCTTTAAAAAAAATACTTTATATACAGTATATGGCAGTATATGACTACGTCCTGTAAAGATCCACCAGTAACACTTTGAGACTTCTTCCGTGTGATAGTCCAAAGGTTATATGTAGATGACATAATCACTCCTGATTCTTATGAATCTTGGAAAAATACTTTCCTTCAAAATTCTAATAAATCACTTGCAGGTACTCTCCTTTGTTCAGTGCTGTTGTAACTCTGAATGTGCACTAAATGAATGGTCGTAAGTCAAGGACAACCTGTAGGAGACAGAAATGATTCATTGTACAGCTAGAAGATCTCAAAACACCAGCAATTGTGTTTCTTTTCCACACAGGTGGGTTTGAATGTCATGGCTGATGCATCAATTAGGGCAGCCTTTCTCTACCTGGACAACTTTTAAAATGTGCGAACTTCAACTTCAGCAAAGAATAAAGGTCCAACTTCAAGCCCTCCCATCTTAAAGTGGCCAAGGTTGAGAAATACTAAATCGGGGCATCCACCAAGCAGCTGAGGTAGCTCACAGCAAGTCTTGTTTAGTGCCGTTGTCATTGGAGGCACCTTCTAGATTCTCCATCACCAGAACCTGTGTCTTGTCCACCCAGTTCCCCTTTTGAGTTGACCGGCCTGCAGCACAGGAGGGCAGATCATGGTCTATCTGCTGGGGAACCGTGACTGGCAAGACTGCATTGCTTTGTGCCCGTTGAGAATACATTTCCCGAGGTATCACCTCCCCGGAGCAGAGCTGCAGCTGGAAAGCAGCTTGGAAACCTCGACGGAAGTTCTCGTTGAAGAAGCCATAGATGATTGGGTTGATGCTACTGTTGAAGAAGGCCAACCAATGGGCAAAGGGGTAGACGTAGATATTGATGAGCTTATGCTGTGCCTCATCCAGTTCTGCGTAATCAGATAGCATGGCCAAGGTCCACAGGGGCAACCAGGAGAGGATGAATAATAAAGCCACAATGATCAGCATCTTGATGACTTTCAACTTCTTCTTGTAAACGGAGTGGCGCTCATGGCCTTGTTTCCCAGAGGCAAGCACTGTGTTGAAGAGCGTGATCCCTATCCGAGCGTACATGATGACAATGAGCGACAGGGGAGCCAAGTAGATGTTGGCAAAGAGGACGGTGGTGTAGATCTTTTTCATGTCCTCGTTGGGCCAGTCTTCCCGGCACCAGTAGATGGGACGGGTTTGGTTGTCCTCCTCAAGAATGACCTGGAAATGCTTTTCTTCCATTAACTTCAGCATTACAGCAGAGGGACACATGATGGCAACAGCCAGGACCCAGATGATGGCTATCAGCATAAGTGCTATCCATACGGTAAGTTTTGGTTTAAAGGGGTAAACAATAGAACGGAACCTACAAGCGAGAGAAAAAGAATATTTCAGTTTGTTAAACTGCAACACCGCAGAATAGCCACATGGTCAACAGCAACGCAAAGTCGATTTTTATTGTGCTAAGAATCATGGAATAACAGAATAACACCATAACAGAGTTGGAAGGGACCTTGCAGGTCTTCTAGTCCAGCCCATGGCAGTAGACCTTCTTCCATTTCAGACAAATGGCTGCCCAATCTCTTCTTAAAAACCTCCACTAATGGAGCACCCACAACTTCTGATGGAGCACTCACAACTTCTGAAGGCAAGCTCTTTCACTGATTTTATTATTCTCACTGTCAGGAAGTTGGATCACTTTCTGATAAGTTTCCATCTATTATTTCTTGTCCTAGGAATTGTCTAGTAATTTTTTTGTCTGCCTTCCTTCCTTCCTTCCTTCCTCCCCTCCCTTCCTTTTCCTTCCTTCCTTCCTTCCTTCCTTCCTTCCTTCCTTCCTTCCTTCCTTCCTTCCTTCCTTCCTTCCTTCCTTCCTTTGCTAAAGAGAAACAGTAATCTACAAAGCACAGCACTTTCCTGTCAAATATTACAAAAGGTAAACTAGACTTCTGAATACACATATAATTAGTTTGATTGATTATGACTTTGAAACAGTGCTGGCTTGCATCTCTAACTTTCAGTAACAACATCACACAATAGAAACTGTCATATACCGGTACATATTTAATGTCATGGTGCAGAAATGCCTGAGCAAAAATAAATGAACTGTGGACCTATGTGCTTGTGCTTTCTATCCTTTTCTATCCAATGAAGTTTAGGGAACGGAAACCAAAAAAACTTTCATTTTCTGACTAGACTTAACTGGAATTCAATCATTAGCCTGAACTGGGATAGACTGAGGAACAATGGTTAATACCTGGTTTCTTGAAATCAGCCAGGTTCATACCATCACAATCTTTCCTTGTTAACAAGGCACAGTTCAAACTAACCAGATTTCTCCCGATCTACTGGCTTGTTTTGATCAAAGAATAAATTAAAATCATTTTAAAACAGGAAGTATAAGCTTTCCTCGTGATTATGCTAAAAAGAACAGAGGGCCTCAGAAGCCCTTCTGCTTCTTCATGTCCTACTGAAATAAGATATATTTAAAAGTGCCCACTCAGTTGAACCATTGATCCCCTTAGCCCATGATTTTATACTAATAATGGAAGCAGTTTTCAAGTACATTCAGGCAGATGTTTCTACAGCCTGACAATTACTTTTTTTTTGTCAGGGAATTGCGAAACTGGTGTCCAAATTAAGTTATAGACACTAACTTGCAGTTTTATATAAATAAATATATTTTACATCTCTATATACAGCAAACAAGATAGTCATGCTAAGGGGAGCATCGTGAGGTAAATGACAGGGTACACTGAAGAAAAAAGGCGGGAAAAAAGGGAAACTCCCCTTCCGCACCCATAGCAACCAATCACAGTGCAGATTGCCTCAGGCAGGAGCCAGCATTCTGCTACCAATCAACCATAACTGTGTGGTAGAATAACTTAACTTTATTGTCACTTAAAATGAGATTTCATTGCATAGAACTCTCAAAGGATCACCCACCTCCAATATACACTACATAAATATGACAAACAAATTGTTGCGTGCACTTACATATACACACACATATATGACACAGAGAAACATCACAGCCTAGGTTGGATGTATACTTACATGGCAAAAAAAACCCAAATCTTGCGAGTTTACCAGACGGATGGCATAAGGAACAAAGCTATTACAGAATCTAGTAGTTCTGCTATAAATACTTCAAAACCTCCTCTCAGAGGGGAGCAACAGGAACAGACCATGAAGTGGGTGTGTGGTGTCTCTAATGTTTCAAGCTTTAAACACATAGCGCTTATAAGCAGTTCTAAGTGTTCTAGCTCACTGCCCAATCTCACTGCTCCAGCTACTAAATTTAGATATCTTCATTGAAAAGTGAGGGACTTAACTGGAGATCTTCCTCAGATGAAATATTTGTCCACCATTTGTGCTATAAACTCCTCCTCAGAAACCTAAACACGGTCTAGCAAAAGCCTCTGGTTTAAATGTTGAAAGCTCTCCATTTAAGATTTTTCAGTAAGGATTTTCAACCTATAAAGGAGAATATTTGTAGCTCAGGTTTTGAAACGAGGGGTTCTTGGTGCTCTCTGAGCTTGGTGTCATGGTTCCGAAAGATGAAACTCTTCAAAGAACTTTGAGGCATTGTTTACCTTAAAGAATCTTTATTCAAGCAGCATAGCTTCAGCACGTACATAATCGAAGCCAAAATCTGACTTCCCCTCCCTTCAGCACATAGATCAAAGCACAATTCCCTCCTACAACTAACTGTCATAAATCACATTCTCCAATTAGTTTGAAATGCTGGCTTTCTGTCCAGTTCTTTATTCCCGCCATGCCTTATCAGCTCTTATTACAATTTTGTATGTCTAACTGTTGTTGTTGTTAATTGCGAAGTCGTGTCCGACCCATCGCGACCCCATGGACAACGTTCCTCCAGGACTTCTCTACCATCTTCTGGAGTCCATTTAAGTTCACACCTACTGCTTCAGTGACTCCATCCAGCCATCTCATTCTCTGTCGTCCCCTTCTTTTATTACCCTCAATCTTTCCCAGCATTAGGCCCTTCTCCAGTGAGTCCTTCCTTCTCATTAGGTGGCCAAAGTATTTGAGTTTCAACTTCAGGATCTGGCCTTCTAAAGAGCAGTCGGGGTTGATCTCTTCTAGAACTGACCGGTTTGAACGCCTTGCAGTCCAAGGGACTCGCAGGAGTCTTCTCCAGCACCATAGTTCAAAGGCCTCAATTCTTTGGCGCTCAGCCTTTCTTATGGTCCAACTTTCACAGCCATACATTGCAACTGGGAAAACCATGGCCTGGACTATACGCACTTTTGTTGGCAGGGTGATGTCTCTGCTTTTTAGTATGCTGTCTAGATTTGCCATAGCTTTCCTCCCCAGGAGCAAGCGTCTTTTAATTTCTTGGCTGCAGTCCCCATCTGAGGTGATCTTGGAGCCCAGAAAAATAAAATCTGTCACTACCTCCATTTCTTCCCCATCTATTTGCCAGGAATTGAGAGGGCCGGATGCCATGATTTTGGTTTTCTTAATGTTGAGTTTCAAGCCAACTTTTGCACTCTCCTTCTTCACCCGCATCAAGAGGCTCTTTAGTTCCTCTTCACTTTCTGCCATTAGAGTGGTATCATCTGCATATCTTAGGTTGTTGATATTTCTCCCGGCAATCTTAATTCCAACTTTTGATTCATCTAGCCCTGCCTTTCTCATGATGTGCTCTGCATATAAGTTAAATAGGCAGGGCGACAGTATACAGCCTTGCCAGACTCCTTTTCCAATTTTGAACCAATCAGTGATTCCGTGTCCAGTTCTCACTGTTGCTCTTGACCCGCATATAGGTTTCTCAAGAGACAAATGAGATGGTCTGGTACTCCCATCTCTTTAAGAACTTGCCACAATTTGTTGTGATCCACACAATCAAAGGCTTTTGCATAGTCAATGAAGCAGAAGTAGATGTTTTTCTGGAACTCCCTAGCTTTCTCCATGATCCAGCGTATGTTGGCAATTTGATCTCTAGTTCCTCTGCCTCTTCGAAATCCTGCCTGTACTTCTGGTAGTTCTCGATCCACATACTGCTGGAGTCTAGCTTGTAGGATTTTAAGCATAACTTTACTAGCATGTGAAATGAGTGCAATGGTGCGATAGTTTGAACATTCTTTGGCATTGCCTTTCTTTGGAATTGGAATGTAAACTGACCTTTTCCAATCCTGTGGCCACTGTTGAGTTTTCCAAATTTGCTGGCAAATTGAGTGTAGCACTTTTACTGCATCGTCTTTTAAGATTTTGAATAGCTCAGCTGGAATACTGTCACCTCCACTAGCTTTGTTGTTGCTCAGATTTTCTAAGGCCCATTTCACTTCACATTCTAGGATGTCTGGTTCGAGGTCAGTGACCATCTCATTGTGGTTATCTGGGATGTTAAGCTCATTCTTGTATAGTTCTTCTGTGTAGTTTTGCCATCTCTTCTTAATCTCTTCTGCCTCTGTTAGGTCTCTGCCATTTTGGTCCTTTATCATGCCCATCTTTGCATGAAACGTTCCCTTCATATCTCCAATTTTCTTGAAGAGATCTCTGGTCCTCCCTATTCTGTTGTTTTCTTCTATTTCTTTGCACTGTTCATTTAAGAAGGCATTCTTATCTCTTCTAGCTACTCTCTGGAATTCTGCAATTCTTTCCTTTTCGCTTCGCTTCCCTTCTTTCCTCAGCTATTTGCAAAGCTTCCTCAGACAGCCATTTTGCTTTCTTGCATTTCTTTTTCTTTGGGATGGTTTTAGTTGCTACCTCTTGTACAATGTTGCGAACTTCCATCCATAGTTCTTCAGGCACTCTGTCTATCAGATCCAGTTCCTTAAATCTATTTGTCACCTCTACTGTATATTCATCAGGAATATGATTTAGTTCATACCTGAGTGGCCTAGTGCTTTTCCCTACTTTTTTCAATTTAAGCCTAAATTTTGCAACGAGAAGCTCATGATCTGAGCCACAGTCAGCTCCTGGTCTTGTTTTTACTGATTGTACAGAGCTTCTCCATCTTTGGCTGCAGAGCACATAGTCAATCTGATTTCTATGTTGACTGTCTGGTGATGTCCATGTGTAAAGCTGTCTCTTGGGTTGTTGGAAAAGAGTGTTTGTTATGACCATCGTATTCTCTTGACAAAATTCGATCAGCCTGTGCCCTGCTTTATTTTGTACTCCAAGGCCAAACTTGCCTGTTATTCCGGTTATCTTTTGGCTTCTTACCTTAGCATTCCAATCCCCCATGATGATAAGGACATCATTTTTTGGTGTTAATTCTATAAGGTGCTGTAGGGCTTCATAGAACTGGTCAATTTCATCCTCTTCAGCACCAGTGGTTGGGGCATAGATTTGGATTATTGTGATATTGAATGGCCTTGGATTCGAATTGAGATCATTCTGTCATTTTGGGGATTGTATCCCAGTATTGCTTTTCCTATTCTTTTATTGACTATGAAGGCTACTCCATTTCTTCTGAGGGATTCTTGCCCACAGTAGTATACCTGATGGTCATCTGAGTTAAATTCACCCATTCCTGTCCATTTTAGTTCGCTGATTCCTAAGATGTCAATGTTCAGTCTTTTTTTTTATTATTATTGAAAATTTTTTAAAATTTTACAAAAAGTTCCCTTCCCCAGACCCTCCCAACCCACCCCAACACTCCCCCAACCTTCCCAGAGCTGAATACAGGCTTAATTAAAATTTAAAAGAAAAAATTTTAAACACAAATAAACCATATACAAATGTGCTTACAATAATTAAACAAATTATAAAATACTTTAACACCAATATTTAAAAAGCAGAAAGAGAAAAGGAAAAGAAACAAGAAAAAGAAGAAAAAAGAAAAAAAATTAAAAAAGGGAATATCTAAAAAATATCTTAAACTTTAAATATAAATTATTCAAAAGCTAAATAATATTTTTTATATCATACTTGTATTGTATAAAATTTATCCATCTTTTCCATACCAAAAGGTACTTCTCTTGCGATTGATCTTTCAAGAAAGCCGAAATCTTTGCCATTTCCGCTAAGTAAGAAACTTTAAGAAACCATTCTTGCAAAGTAGGCAAAGATTCCTTCTTCCAACATTGCCCTACTAACAACCTAGCCGCTGTAATTAAATTTAACATTAATATAGTTTCTTTACTGTCACAATCAGAAACAATACCCAGCAAAAACAATTGTGGAGTAAATTTTATCCTTCTTTTAAAAATTCTTTGAATATTCCACCATATCTTAATCCAAAAAGCTTTTATGTTTTTGCATAACCACCAAATATGATAATAAGTGGAATTCAAGCAACCACATCTCCAACATTTAGGCTGCAAGTTTGAATACATATGAGACATTTTTTGCGGATCAAGGTGCCATCAGTAAAACATTTTATAAAAGTTTTCCCGTTTTGGGCTTGTGTAAATTTGACATTCCTCACCCAAATAATCTCCCAAGTATCTAATGGAACCAATTCATCAAAATTTTGTGCCCATTTAACCATACAATATTTAACTAGTTCTGCTTCTGAATCCAATTCCACTAACACCCCATAAATTCTTTTAATATGGGTTCGTCTTTGATCTTTTATTTGTTTTAATAAATTCTCATCCTCTCTGAGCAAACCCACCTTGCAATCTATCTTCCATCTTTCCAATAATTGTCTATACTGAAACCATGAATAAATAATGTTTTCTTGTATTAAATCTTCCATAGATTTTAATTGCCAATTTTTACCATCCCATCCAAGTAATTGTGTATAAGAAATACTATCCATCTTAACTCCTCTCCTTATCCCTTCTATCGCATGCCATAGGATAGCCCATAATGGAATTCTAGAGTCACCTCTATAATATTTCTTCCAAACCCAAAGAAGTTCTTAAAATATTAGACTTAAAAACCCTATCAACCTTTTTATTAAAAATTAAATAGGCATGCCATCCAAAAAGTAAATCCCATCCCTCCAGGAGGAGTACATCTACATTTGTTAAGTTAACCCAATCACTAATTAATGTTAACACCACGGCATCATAATACAATTTCAGGTTCAGTACCTTGAGTCCACCTCTCTCACGAATATCTTGTATAATTTTAAGTTTTACTCTTGGTTTTTATCCTGCCAAATAAATTTATTGATACCTTTCTGCCATTCATTTAAGTTGGCCTCGTTCTTTAAAATAGGTATCATTTGAAATAAAAAGAGAAACTTTGGCAAAACATTCATTTTAATCGCTGCAATTCTCCCCAGTAGGGATAATTGCAGCTTCTTCCAATTTTCCAAATCCTTTTGTATTTTAGATGTTCAGTCTTGTCATCTCTTTTTTGACTACGTCTAGCTTGCCTTGATTCATGGATCTTACATTCCAGGTTCCTATGGAGAAAAAATCTTTACAGCATCGGACTTTCCTTTCACCACCAGATATATCCACAGCTGAGCGTCCTTTCGGCTTTGGCCCAGTCGCTTCATTCTTTCTGGCACTACTAGTACTAGCCCTCTGCTCTTCCCCAGTAGCATATTGGACACCTTCTGACCTGAGGGGCTCATCTTCCAGCGTCATATCTTTTTGCCTTTTAGTACTGTCCATGGGGTTTTCATGGCAAAGATACTGGAGTGGTTTGCCATTTCCTTCTCCAGTGGATCACATTTTGTCAAAACTCTCTGCTATGACCTGTTTGTCTTGGGTGGCCCTGCACGGCATAGCTTATAGCTTCATTGAGTTATGCAAGCCCCTTCGCCACGACAAGGCAGTAATCCATAAAGTCTAACTAACTCCCATCAAATTCCTCCCCCTCCCTCCAGTATCATCTTATTCTAAGAGTAAAGAAAGAAAAAGGCTGCATCTCCATATGTTGTCAAAGCAAGAACATCCAATGTTAGCAGTGTTGACACTTGGGTGTTTTCTTGCAGAGGTTTCATTATCCAAACTAGGGAACCCCCTCAGTGCCAGTGATGTTACTGCCCAGCACTGATGCAGCATTGATGATGTTACCTAGTTTGGGTAATGAAACATCTCCAAAAAAAGTCTATGGAAATTCTCAGTCATCCAAGTCATAGTTACCCCAAAGGTGCTTTTTCACGAGGCAACTGGATTTTCTTGTTTTTCTTTTTTAAGCTGAAGAAGGTTCTTGGATGAGAAGCAAAACATCTTCAAAGAAAAACAAGAAAGTCCAGTTGGCTCATGAAAAAGCACCTTTGGGTCTTCAAGAAAACAACCAAGCTCAGAGAGCACCAAGGACCCCTGATGTTCTACCTTTTAAGCCTTAGATTCCAACATAACTTTTCACAGGGTATCCATGTCTTGCTTTTTTCGTCACTTTATCATTATGGGGTATATTTTCTTCCCCGGGGCTAATTCTTCCTGACGTTAGAGCACTTTGATCTCATTACTAAGTCTGAGGAACATACAATTCTAGGTGACAGAGGAACAACAGATTTCTGGACTCCATATCAATTTCTAGGTGTTTACAAAGCCTTACCTATCAACTGCAATGGCTACCAAAGTGAAGACTGAAGCAGAAACAGATATTCCCTGGACTGTGCCATTCATTTTGCAGGCAACGCTTCCAAAAGGCCATCCTGGAAAATAAAGCATTGTTTTAGATGAAAAGGTCAACAACCGTGTTCAATTATTTTCAATTAGTAGACAAGCAAAAGGCTACATACAGCATTTGGAAACAGCCACAGCATTCAATAACTTTCTAGTTCACTTTGTATAAATATTAAAGGGATAAGGTCTGGGGTTTTTTTTAAAAAAAAAATCAACTGAATTGCATAGGCTGAGTTTATACATCATATTACAATGATAATATGATTTGTTTGGCTGTGGTTTAACATGCAAAACTAGCTATGACCGGCATTTATAATGTACCGTATTTGTGACTCCAAATAGTGGTTTAGTCAACCAAAGATGGTTAAACAATCCCTAATTTTCAAGGCCCATAATCCATGGGACTTGATCATGAATTGATCAAAAATCATGATATAGGACAGTAGTGGTGAACCTATGGCACAGGTGCCAGAAGCAGCACTCAGAGCCCTCTCTGTGGGCACACGCGCTGTCACCCCAGTCCTAGGCCTTCAGCTGGGATTTATAAAACCTTTTCGCTTTAGGCCTCTGCCACCTTGTGCAAAAAAAAAAAAAGGTTCAATCAATCAGTCAATTTCAACTTCTCGCGGGAAAAAAAATCTTGCAAAGTTGGAATTGATTGATTGAACTTTTTAGTCCCAGCCAGTTACCACCGCAGCCACGCCCACCCAATGGGCCACACCCACCTGGCACCCAATGATGCATAAGTGGATTTTGGGTTGCAGTTTGGGCACTCGGTCTCTGAAAGGTTCGCCATCACTGATATAGGATGATGCTTGTGAGGAAAACAAATTTTTGGAAACACAGAAGTGTGTTAGCAAGATAGCAACAGGAGGAATGTGTGCTAATAGGGGCAGCCTTGAAGTCCTCAGTTCTCAGTACAGTTATACCTCATCACTTGACTGCTTCAAAACTTGTCGAATTCGGTATTCAATGCGTTTTGAAGCAGAAATCTTATCCCAACACTTGTCTTTCCCCCAGCAGTCAACATGCAAGGAAGAACTTGCTGATGTCGGCTGCCTCGTGCTATTTCTTCCAGTCAAAATAGCGGGCCCCTTAGTAAATCACGTGATTTTCTTGGTAGCCATCAGTTTTAGTATTCGGCAGAATGAATTAACGATGAGGATCAAGGTACCACTGCAACTGAGTCAAGGCCATGATTTTCCCAGTTGCAATGTATGGCTGTGAAAGTTGGACCATAAGAAAGGCTGAGCGCCAAAGAATGGAGGCCTTTGAACTCTGGTGCTGGAGAAGACTCCTGCGAGTCCCATGGACTGCAAGGCGATCAAACCGGTCAGTCCTAGAGGAGATCAACCCCGACTGCTCTTTAGAAGGCCAGATCCTGAAGTTGAAATTCCTTTGGCCACCTAATGAGAAGAAAGGACTCCCTGGAGAAGAACCTAATGCTGGGAAAAATTGAGGGCAATAGAAGAAGGGGACGACAGAGAATGAGGTGGCTGGATGGAGTCACTGAAGCAGCAGGCATGAGCTTAAATAGACTCCAGAAGATGATAGAGGACAGGAAGGCCTGGCGGAACATTGTTCATAGGGTTGTGATGGATCGGACATGACTTCACGGTTTTCTGTTGGAATTCCTCCAGAAATTATTAAATAAACAATTATTACAGCAAGCCTTGATTATTGGTGTTTGGGTCCCATGTTTGATTCCAAATACTGTAGGCATGTCTGTGTTACAAGGCAGACCAGGCTAAGAAGAAAAAAAACGTACATGGGAGCCTAACTACTTCTATTTAGATTTTTTATCTCATTAGAAGATAATATTTGTAACTCAGGGTTGAACTGTGGGGTTCTTGATGCTCTCTGAACTTGGCTGTTTTCTTGAGACATTTCATTACCTAACTAAGCAACATCATCAGTGTGAGTAAGAAGTGGGCTTTGCATTACCTAACTAAGTAACATCAGTGTTAATGGGAATGTCTTGGTGCTTCCTTGATTGGATGAGAGTAAACTCCACTTCCTTCTAGTGTACTCAGCGAGTGGTCCTCAATGGAACTGCATCTATATGGAGGGAAGTGTGTAGTGGGGTGCCCCAGGGCTCTGTTCTGGGCCCAGTACTCTTCAACACCTTCATCAATGACTTGGATGAAGGGATAGATGGGGAACTCATCAAATTTGCAGACGACACCAAGCTGGCAGGAATAGCCAACACTCCAGAAGACAGGCTTCAGATACAGAAGGATCTGGACAGACTTGAACACTGGGCACTAACTAACAAAATGAAATTCAATGGTGAAAAAAGCAAAGTTCTACATTTAGGCAAGAAAAACCAAATGCACAAGTACAACATAGGTAGCACCATGCTCAGTAGTAGTAACTGTGAGAGGGACCTCGGAGTCCTAGTAGACAATCACCTAAATATGAGCCAGCAGTGTGCTGCAGCTAACAAAAAGGCCAACACAGTGCTAGGCTGCATTAACAGAGGGATAGAATCAAGATCATGTGAAGTATTAATACCACTCTTCAATGCCTTGGTAAGGCCACACTTGGAATCCTGCATCCAGTTTTGGTCACCACGATGTAAAAAAGATGTTGAGACTCTAGAAAGAGTACAGAGAAGAGCAACAAAGATGATTAGGGGACTGGAGGCTAAAACATATAAGGAACGGTGGCTAGAATTGGGTATGTCTAGTTTAACGAAGAGAAGGACAAGGGGGGACATGATAGCAGTATTCCAATATCTCAAGGGCTGCCATAAAGAAGAGGGAATTAAGCTATTTTCCAAAGCACCTGAAGGCAGGACAAGAAGCAACGGGTGGAAACTCATCAAGGAGAGAAGCAACCTCGAACTAAGGAGAAACTTCCTGACAGTGAGAACAATTAATCAGTGGAACAGCTTGCCTCCAGAAGCAGTAAATGCTCCAACACTGGAAGTTTTTAAGAAGAGACTGGACAGCCATTTGTCCGAAATGGTGTAGGGTTTCCTGCCTGAGCAGGGGGTTGGACTAGATGACCTCCAAGGTCCCTTCCAACTTTACTACTATTACCTAGTTGGGTAATGAAACGTCTGCAAGAGAACTAAGCTCAGAGAGCACTCTACAGATTACGTATAGTAAACACACTCTCGCAAGTTGGATTGTGTTACCCCCTGATCTTTCTTTTACATTCGTGTGGATGATATCCAACAGGTGCCCCCTGGCCATTGTACCTGTTATGAGGTTGTCCAGGAGAGTGGTGGGCATACAAAAAATCCCCACCAGCAGATCGCTGACGGCCAGGTTCAAGATGAAGAGGTTGGTGACAGTGTGCATATGTTTGCTCTGCAGAATGGTAAAGCAGACGATTCCGTTGCCAATCATGCACAGAAGAAAGATGAGCAGGTAAGAGATGATGTAGACCGAAGCAACCAGCGGGTGGTGAAGGTAAAAACCCACATAGGTGATGTTGGGCTCCATCTGACAAACGTCGACAGAAGCGGTGCAGTTCCTCAGAGAGAGTTCGGACTGGGAAGAACCGGGCTCCTCGTATTTCTTATCCATGTTAAACTGCGCCTTGCCACAAAAATTAAAGAAAAAATAAGTTAGTGGAGAAGATAAGGAACTTATAAGCAGTCCTCACAACCGTTTGTTAAGTCACCGTTCGAAGTTACAACAGCACTGAAAAAACTGACTTAGAGCCATTTTTCAAACTTACGACGGTTGCAGTATCTCCTTGTCATATGATCAGAATTCAGACACTTGGCAACTGGCTCATATTTACGATGGCTGCATGTCCCAGGGGGATCATGTGATCGTCTTTTGCGAACTTCTGACAAGCAAAGTCAATGAGGGAAGCCAGATTCACTTAACAACTGTGTTCGTAACTTAACTGCAGTGATTCACTTAACAACTGTGGCAAAAAAAATTGTCATGAAATGGGACCAAGCTCACTTAACAACAGAAATTTTGGGCCCCGTCCTATTAACCAGTTAGACCAGGGGTGGGCAACCTGGGCTCTTTTATGACTCGTGAACTTCGACTCCCAGAATTCCTGAGCCAGTATGGTTCAGCTTGGGAACCTCTCCCTTTCCTCTCAGCATGGCTGGCTCAGGAATTCTGGGAATTGAAGTCCACGAGTCATAAAAGAGCCAAGGTTGCCTACCTCTGGCCTAGGCCTAGGCCACTTTATGACTCGTGGACTTCAACTCCCAGAATTCCTGAGTCAGCATGGCTCAGCTTGAAAACCTCTCCCTTTCTTCTCAGCATGGCTGGCTCAGGAATTCTGGGAGTTGAAGTCCACAAGTCATAAAAGAGCCAAGGTTGCCTACCTCTGGCCTAGGCTGCTTTATGACTCGTGGACTTCAACTCCCAGAATTCCTGAGCCAGCCATGCTGAGGGGAAATGAAGAGTTTCCAAGCTGAGCCATGCTGGCTCAGGAATTCTGGGAGTTGAAGTCCACCAGTCATAAAAGAGCCAAGGTTGCCTACCTCTGGCCTAGGCCGCTTTATGACTCGTGGACTTCAACTCCCAGAATTCCTGAGCCAGCCATGCTGAGGGGAAATGAAGAGTTTCCAAGCTGAGCCATGCTGGCTCAGGAATTCTGGGAGTTGAAGTCCACCAGTCATAAAAGAGCCAAGGTTGCCTACCTCTGGCCTAGGCTGCTTTATGACTCGTGGACTTCAACTCCCAGAATTCCTGAGCCAGCCATGCTGAGGGGAAATGAAGAGTTTCCAAGCTGAGCCATGCTGGCTCAGGAATTCTGGGAGTTGAAGTCCATGAGTCATAAAAGAGCCAAGGTTGCCTATCCCTGAGTTAGACATTCACAGCCTGAAAGGAGTATTATTTAAAAAAAAAAAATACAGTAAACAATTATCACTAATCCCACACTAACCAAAAAGAGAAAATGCAATTATTGCTTTCTGGCATTGAATGCAAACGAAAGGACGAGTGTATATTTCATATTTAAAGTTAGGAGTATTTCTAAAATCAATTATTTGTGGGATTAATTGCCTTCTCAATTTTAATCCTTATTGAAACCATTCCAGTTTTGTCTCCGTGCAGGCTAAAAAGAGAAAACTGCATTCTTAAAATTTGTTGGCATCTGTCTGCAAGAGATGTATGTTTTGCCAGCAAACACAGTATGTGCGAAAAGTGAATTTCGCCTGTCAAAATATTATCTGAAATTCATACCCCCCTCCATCAACCCACACACTTACTTTCTTTTACATCATTGTTACTCACAGCATACAGTCAGTTGAGATGAAGATCCTTTGTAGACTACTAGTACTGAAGAACAGAATAGAAATAGAATACAGACAATCCTCAACTTTCAACAATTCATTTACTGACCGTTCTGTTACACTGAAAAATGTGACTTAGGACCGTTTTTCAGTTACCGCCTTTGCAGCCTCCTCATGATCACATGTTCAAAATTCAGACGCTTGCCAATTGACTCATATTTATGACGGTTGCAGTGTCCTGGGGTCACGTGATCCCCTTTTGCTACCTTCTGACAAGCAAAATCAATGGTGAAGCCAGATTCACTTAACAACTGGATTACTAGATTAGCAACTGCAGTGATTCCCCTTAACAACTATGGCAAGAAAGGTCATAAAACGGGGGGAAAATTCACTTAACAAATGGCTCACTTAACAATAGAAATTGTGGGCTCAGTTGTGGTTGTTAAGTCGAGGACTACCTGTAGAATATTTTTTATTGGCCAAGTGTGATTTGCCTCCGATGCAGAAGCACTCAACAAAGTAATATGATCATAAGATACCGATAGGAGAAGGTAATAGGAAAGATGAGAAGGATAATAGCGATACAGCCTATAAAAACAACAACAAACAAACAACAACAACTAGAGCATCACTTGAACACCATTGGCATTGACAAATTTGCCATTAGTCAATTGCAAAAGGCGTCCTTACTAGGAACTGCTTCCATCCTATGACGATAACTGTAATACCATCAAACATCCAGATCTGCCTATCCCAAGTCCTTGGGAAGGACTCGATAGGTAGATAAAAATGCCAAATCCTGTCTGAACATCTGGCTGACTGTGCGATGATCAATAATGATGATGATGATGATGATACAGTTGGACAGGATCTTGGAGGTCTTCTAGTCCAAGCCCCTGCTCAGGCAGGAAACCCTACACCATTTCAGATAAATGGCTGTCCAGTCTCTTCTTAAACACTTCCAGTGATGAAGCACCCACAACTTCTGGAGGCAGCTTGTTCCACTGGTTGATTGTTCTCACCGTCAAGAAATTTCTCCTTAGTTCTAGGTTGCTTCTCTCTTTGATCACCTACTAAACGGGTAAATATCTTTAGGCCTAAAACAGTGCAGTGAGAATTAGGTGCTCAGCAGAGGGAGGGCACGGAGAATAAAAATATCTTCGTGTCTAGTTATTTGGGCGTGCAATGCTCCATAGCATCATCTTGAGGGGAGAAGCTGAAACAGTTTATGTCCAGTTTATATGAAGTGTCTGTAGATATTTTCTCAGCCCTTTTTCTGATTTCTGCAGTGTACAGATCCTCAGTGGAAGGCAGGCTGGTTGCGATTGTTTTTTCCCCAGTCCTGACTATCCGTTGAAGTCTGTGTCTATCTTATTTGGTTGCTGGGCCAAGCCAGACAGTTATTGAGATACAAATGACAGCCTCAATAATCCATCTGTAGAAGTGTATCAGCAGCTCCTTGGGCAATCTTTCTGAGTCGACGTAGGAAGAACATCCTTGTTGTGCCTTTTTTAATGATGGTTCTAAACGTCTCTAGTTTCCAGCCGGCTGCCTTAACCCAGGGCTCCCCAATCTTGGCAACTTTAAGACTTGTGGACTTCAAATCCCATGGCTGGCTGGGGAATTCTGGCAGTTGAAGTCCACAGGTCTTAAAGTTGCCAAGGTCGGGGACCTCTGCCTTAACCGCTTTCAATTGCTACAAGCTGTTTATATTAGACTCAGCATTTTCTGAACATTTTGGTGCATAATTAAAAAGAAGGGGGGGGGGAGATTAAAGGTAGTTCTCGACTTAACGCCCGCCACTGAGCCCAAAATTTCAATTGCTCAGCCAGACAGTTGTTAAGGGAATCGGGTCCCACTTTACGACCTTTTTTGCTAGAGTTCTTAAGCAAATTGCTACAGTTGTTAAGTGAATTGTACAGTCGTTAAGCCCGAAGTTTGATCACCATGGGGACGCTGCAACCGTCTTTAGTGTGAAGAGTGGTCATGAGTCCCATTTTCCTACTGCTGTTGTAACTTTGAATGGCTCTTAAATGAATGGTTGTAAGACAAATACTACCTACAATGGAAAACAAGCGATTAACTCCTTGGAGAGAAGCAGAATTTTGTACCCTCCCGTAAGTTCTTTCTATGGTGACTACTTACCTGCGACTAAAAATGACTGCGTGCCCTCCCAAAAATAAAAACCAATTTTGTTTTTCATGGAATTGGATACCCCTGTGTCAAGCACAAGAATCAGGAAACCCAGGCAGGTCAAATGAATATCAGGATTTAATGCAAGCTGAAGCTTTCTACAACCAATTGAACTACTAGGGGCTGCCACAAGGAACAGGGGGCCAGGTTGTTCACCAGAGCACCAGAGGGAAGGACTAGAAACCATGGTTGGAAACTGACCAAGGAGAGAAGCAACCTGGAATTAAGGAGAAATTGCCTGACAGTGAGGACAATCAACCAGTGGAACAGCTTTGCTTCCAGAAATCATGGGCGCTCCGTCACTGGAGATTTTTAAAAAGAGGCTAGATTAGGGGACTGGAGGCTAAAGCATATAAGGAACTGTTGCTGGAATTGGGTATGTCTAGTTTAATGAAGAGAAGGACAAGGGGGGACAGGATAGCAAATCTTCCAGTATCTCAGGGGCTGCCCCAAAGAAGAGGGAGTCAAGCTGTTCTCCAAAGCTTCTGAAGACAGGACAAGGAGCAACGGATGGAAACTAACCAAAGAAAGAAGCAACCTAGAACTAAGGAGAAACTTCCTGACAGTGAGAACAATTAACCAGTGGAACCACCTGCCTCCAGAAGTGGTGAATGCTCCAACACTGGAAGTTTTTAAGAAGAGACTGGACAGCCATTTGTCCGAAATGGTATAGGGCAGCAGTTCTCAACCTGTGGGTCGCGACCCTTTTGGGGGTCGAACAACGCTTTCACAAGGGTCGCCTCAGAAAACACATATTTCCGATGGTCTTAGGAACCAAGAAACCGCTTCTCTACCCGGCCACTGCCGCCGCTGCCCTCTTCTTCCTCTGCTGGCTCCTCCACCTCCAGGGCACCCTTCTCCGACAGCACCTGCTCCTGCCACCGCAGCGCCATCGTGCGCGCCCCCGACGCCACCCAGAGCTGGCTCAGCTGCGTGGGCAGCCAGGCCGAGCCAAGCCAGCTCTGGGCCGCTACTGGCACTGCTGCTGGGCTGCTCCACCACTGCCGCTGCTGCTAACTGAGCTGAGCTGTGGCGGCAAGCCGGTCCCCATGCCTCCTGGTTGTCCGGCCACGCTCCACCCCTGGCTGCCCTCCGCGCCATGCTGGAGCCTCCCCCGTGCCACCCGGCCCACCTCCCTCACCGTCAGAGGCCGCCTCAGCCCTCTGGCGCCTCGGAAGCGGCCAAGAGGCAGGGAAGAGGGCAAGGCGGTGGCGATGCCCGCATGTGCGTCAGAGGCCAGCCGGCCGGGCCGGGAGGGGAGAAGCGGCACCTTCCAAGCGGGAGCTGGCACTCCGGCCATGCCCCTCTCGTGTATGACGAGTCGGGGAAGGGTTTGGCGGTGAAGGGCTGTGCGGCGTGGAAAGGGGCTCCCGCGAGCCCGCCGCTGCAATGGCGCTTAGGAGGCTGGAGTGGGCAGCCGGCGGCTCTGAAGTGCGCGGATCCTCCGCGCGGCTTCCGAGGCCCCGGAGGTGACGCCACTTGGCTCTCTACCAGAGCCTCCCCCCCCTCCCTGGGCAATTGTGCGGAGCTGCTTGTGCGTCCTTGGCAGCACCTGCGGGGAAGGCTGTGTGCCCGAGCCGAAACGCCACGTTTTTCCTACCGCTTCTCCTCTCATTGGTCAAAGAGGCAGACGCGATTTCCCTTTCCCTGGTTCTTTTCATCTGCGCTGGAAAGGACAATTTGGGATATTTTATTACTGGTACTTGTTGCTTGTTTTATTACTAGTTGCCTTTGCTGAACCAGGGAAAATTGGTTAAAGTGATTTTCAGGAGCTGCAGAATGCCTCCAAGTAAAGCCGCAGCAATTACCCGGCCCATTTTCCCTGCTAAGGCATCTGTGTGTGTGTCTCCAGACCTTACTGGACTACCATCCCCAGCAGCCCTAAAAAGCACTGTGGAAGAGTGGGGAATGCTGGGAGTTGCAGTTCATCACCATCTGGGAAAACATAACTCTCCAAAGATCCATCCTTCCTTCCTTCCTTTCTTCCTTCCTTCCTTCCTTCCCTCCCCCTTCAATTTTCTTCCTTCAATCTTCCTTCCTTCCTTCCATCTCCATCCCTTCCTTCAATCTCTCCTTCCTTCCTTCCTTCCCCTTCAATCTTCTTCCTTCTCCATCTCCTTCCTTTCCCCTTCAATCTTCCTTCCTTCCTTCCATCTCCATCCCTTCCCCTTCAATCTTTCTCCTTCCTTCCTTTCCCCTTCAATCTTCCTTCCTTCCTTCCATCTCCATCCCTTCCACTTCAATCTCTCTCATCTTCCTTCCTTCCTTCCTTCCTTCCCCCTTCAATCTCCTTTCTTCTCCATCTCCTTCCTTTCCCCTTCAATCTTCCTTTCTTCCTTCCTTCCATCTCCATCTCCATCCCTTCCCCTTCAATCTCTCTCCTTCCTTCCTTCCTTCCTTCCTTCCTTCTTTCCTTCCTTTCCCCTTCAATTTTCCTTCCTTCCTTAATTCCATCTCCATCCCTTCCCCTTCAATCTCTTTCTCCTTCCTTCCTTTCCCCTTCAATCTCCTTCCTTCTCCATCTCCTTCCTTTCCCCTTCAATCTTCCTTCCTTCCTTCCCCTTCCCTCTCTCCCAACATTTTTGAGCAAGGAAGAGTAAGCTTCTCCAACGAGCATTGCTATATTGTTTTTGTGATTAACCACTATGCTTTAATTATGTTCAATTCGTAACAATGAAAATACACCCTGCATATCAGATATTTACATTACGATTCCTAACAGTAGCAAAATTACAGTTATGAAGTAGCAACGAAAATAATTTTATGGTTGGGGGTCACCACAACATGAGGAACTATATTAAAGGGTCGCGGCATTAGGAAGTTGAGAGCCACTGGTATAGGGTTTCCTGCCTGAGCAGGGGGTTGGACTAGATGACCTCCAAGGTCCCTTCCAACTTATTATTATTAAACTTGTCTGAGATGGTATATAGGTTCACCTGCTCAAGTAGGAAGCTGGAATAGAAGACCTCCAAGGTCCTATTCCATCCCATCCCATCCCATCCATATTCTAATTCTAATTCTAATCATGGTCCAAGCAAATTGGGGGTAGATAAGACTCAATGGAATTCAAGGAGGGGTGGACTTAGATCTCTTGTGGGCAGGTAGGGACTCCAGATTAATGACGCATTTCTCCCCTCCCTCGAGTTCAGCCTGGTCATTTCCTACACACCCTTTCATATATGTAGATGCAAACACAGACATAACGGCAATTATGAGGCTGCAAAGCTTTGGCTTTTCAGTCTGAAAGGGACTCGACTGAATCTTCAAATAAAACGGATCTGTTCAAATGGAACCAGTGGAACAAGTCAAATTATTTTCGCAGCCCTGCCAAAACACACCCATTTCCAGATCAAATTGATTTCCACTAATCCGATGAAGCCGTTAATTCAGTTGCAGATGCTTATGCTGACATTTCAAATTAAAATGATCTGACATTTCAAAAGGAACTTTTCACCATGTCTGTGTTTGTCTTTCCACACCGCCCCCCCTCCAGTTGTTTATTATTAAAAGTCTGAACTTCCTTTGATGATTTGCTTCCTCTCATCTTCCTGCCTTCAGCGTTTTCCCGTTAATTGAACCCAAAATATCTGTTGCTAAGGGGAGACATTGGTTAAGTGAGTTTTGCCCCGTTTTACGACCTTTCTTGCTACGGTTCTAAAGTGAATCACCTCTTCTCACTCTCACTCTTCCCTTCACTCGGAAAGAAAGCAACTTTCCCCCTTCTCGCTCTCACTCTTCCCTTCGCTTGGAAAGAAAGCAACTTTCCCCCTTCTCGCTCTCACTCTTCCCTTCGCTCGGAAAGAAAGCAACTTTCCCCCTTCTCGCTCTCACTCTTCCCTTTGCTCGGAAAGAAAGCAACTTTCCCCCTTCTCGCTCTCACTCTTCCCTTCGCTCAGAAAAAAAGCAACGTTCCCCCTTCTCGCTCTCACTCTTCCCTTCGCTCGGAAACAAAGCAACTTTCCCCCTTCTCGCTCTCACTCTTCCCTTCGCTCAAAATACCCCCCCTGCGAAAGAAAGCAATAAAACTCCGCTCTCACTCTCTCTTTCTCTTTCCCCCTACTTCAGAGAAAAGGAATCACCTAAAAACCTTAAACCCCTCTTCGGCTTCACCTGGTCTCTCCCCGACAACACAACACAACCACCCCATCTTCTCCTTCCCCCTTTCTTTCCTTCTGCCTGATCCACGCCCGCCGCGTCCAAGCTGGCTGCAGCTGTCCGGGCCTCCTTCTGATCAGGCTCCCGCAAAGCCTTTCGGCCAGCCCCGCTACACATAGAAAACATAGAAGCTAAATATACCAAGAATACTGATGTCTCTGATTTGAATTTTACTTAACCTTGTTCCACCTTCTTTTGTGAATGACAGAATTAGCACAGGGGAAGGCGAGGTATATTTAGGTTGCATGCGAAGATTTTTTTTTCCTTTTCCACGACTAAAGATAGTTCGGGCTAATTCAAATCAATAAGTATGATTTGCCGTGTGGCATTTTGATCTTAATAACCTTCTTGACGGAGAAGATTTATGCCTCACCTGAAAAAAAAAAAAACCACCATTAGCCTCCTTTTGGTTTCTTGAAAGAAAGGACCCCTTTTTGCCTGCTCGCCATTTGATCTTAACCACAATTTATAAATTGCTCAGTGATGGATGGTGTAAGCAAGAAAAGGGACAGTAAGTATTTGTAACCGTTAGCTGATCACTGCCGAACGGTTTAATGTGAGACACCCAGAGGAGGAAAAAAATCTTATTAGCTGTTTGAATTTATTTATTTCTTTAGAGCCCACCTTTATTATTTTTTACAAATGACTCAAGGAAGCAAAGTTATCCAGCACAACTTTCTCCTCCGTTTTACTCACAACAACTCTGTGAGGTGAGTTGGGCTGAGAGTGAGTGGCCCAAAGTCACCCAGTCAATTTTCATGCTTAAGACAGGACTAGAACTCACAGTCTCCTGGTGATTGGCCCAAAGTCACCCATACCTAAGGCGGGACTGGAACTCCTAGATGCCTAGTGATGTCCAAAGTCACCCAGTTGGCTTTCATGCCTAATGTGGGACTATAACTGACCACCTTCTGGGCCCAAAATCACCCAGCCATTTTTCATGCCAAAGGTAGGACTAGAACTCACAGTCTCCTGGTGATTGGCCCAAAGTCACCCATACCTAAGGCGGGACTGGAACTCCTAGATGCCTAGTGATGTCCAAAGTCACCCAGTTGGCTTTCATGCCTAATGTGGGACTATAACTGACCACCTTCTGGGCCCAAAATCACCCAGCCATTTTTCATGCCAAAGGTAGGACTAGAACTCACAGTCTCCTGGTGATTGGCCCAAAGTCACCCATACCTAAGGCGGGACTGGAACTCCTAGATGCCTAGTGATGTCCAAAGTCACCCAGTCGGCTTTCATGCCTAATGTGGGACTATAACTCACCACCTCCTGGGCCCAAAGTCACCCACCTGGTTTTCATGGAAAAAACAGGACTAGAATTCATGATCGTCCAGTTTGTAGCTTGGTGCCTTAACCATTATTATCTTCAGTTGTTCTTCACATTGGAGGCATCTGAAGACAGTCTTTAGCTGTTTGTTAGACAAGACAAACCAAAGACCAGATCAACTTATTTGACAGCAGATCCTCCTAAACAACCAGGCAAATTCTCTGAAAAAGACTGACGTGTGATGGGAAAACTCCCAGAATTTAAGTTTTAATGAATGATGTTTGTGTTTCAAATATGGAAATGAGTTTAATCTGTAAATCTTTAAGAAGGATTTTCAAATATTTATGTGGATGGTTATCAAGACAAAAAGATGGAAATATCCTGCTGAGAAAAAGCCTGCCTTATATCCTTGATAGATCGATAAATCACTAAAGCTTCAACTATAAATAAATAAAAATATACTACTATCATTATAGTGTGTATGTTTGTAGATAGATGATAGATAGATGATAGACAGCTAGATAGATGATATATATAGACAGACAGATGATGATGATGATGTTGGAAGGGAACTTGGGGGTCATCTAGTCCCACCCCCTGCTCAGACAGGAAACCCTCTATCATTTCAGACAAATGGCTGTCCAGTCTCTTCTTAAAAACCTCCAGTGTTGGAGCATTCACCGCTTCTGGAGGCAGGTTGGTTCACTGAGAGAGATAGATAGATAGATAGATAGATAGATAGATAGATAGATAGATAGATAGATAGATAGACAGACAGACAGACAGACAGATAAGGTGGGACTACAACTCTCAGACTCACAGTTTCTAATCTGGTGCCTTAACCACTTGACCAAACTGGCTCTAATTTTATTTTTTATTGGAAAAAAGAGGCGTTAACAGAATAATATATTTGGTTATTTGGAACCTCGGAGACAGAAGCTGATCGGACTGAAAAATAAACTCCTCTTGGGGTAGCACCAGACTGCTACGTTACATTCTAATTATGTCCTGCTTGCTAGTCACCATGGTTACGCAAAGAACAAGATTAAAATAAACTATACTGTTTGCCTTATTCTAGCAGGTAACTTTTAAATTCTCTTAAATACCAAAATAGTCAGCGGGCCAACCGGTGTAAGAAGTTATCAGCCAACGAGTGAACCCTGTACAGTGAACTGACGTATTGAAATAGACTGCAGTGTTTCTCAACCTTGACAATTTTAAGGCATGTGGACTTCAACTCTCAGAATTCCACAGCCAGCATTGCTGGCTGTGGAATTCTGGGAGTTGAAGACCACATGCCTTAAAATTGTCAAGGTTGAGAAACACTGAAATAGAGGAATCAGATGCTGTTCTCCTTTAGCATTACACTTTCATTTAACAGAATAACAGAGTTGGGAATCTTGAAAGGCTTCTAGACCTGCAGCCCTCAATCTTTTGGGCACCAGGGACCGGTTCCATGGAAAAATAAAGTTCCCTGAGGTAGGACTAGAACTCATCACCTCCTAGTGAATTGCCCCAAATTCCCCAGCCATCTTTCAGGACTCAGTAGGGACTAGAATTCACTGTTTTCTGGTGATTGGCCCAAAGTCAATCAGTCGGCTTTCATTCCTAACTCACTGTCTCCTGATGATTGGCCCAAAGTCCCCCAGCTGGCTTTCATGCCAAAGGAGGGACTAGAACTCACTGTCTCCTGGTGATTGGCCCAAAGTCCCCCAGCTGGCTTTCATGCCAAAGGTGGGACTAGAACTCACTGTCTCCTGGTGATTGGCCCAAAATCCCCCAGCTGGCTTTCATGCCAAAGGTGGGACTAGAACTCACTGTCTCCTGGTGATTGGCCCAAAGTCCCCTAGCTGACTTTTATGGCTAAAATGGGACTTGAACTTGTAGTCTTGTAGTTTTCTAGCCTGGTGCTTAGTTACTACGCCAAGCTACATTTAATCTTCAAAAATGCAGAGATGAGAATATTCTTTTTCTTTCTTTTTTTTTTTAAAAAAAGGCAATGTGTGAATATGATAGACGTATATTCTTGATTTGGCTGTGTTTTCTTTTCTCCCCCCCCCCCATTCTTTCAATTCCTTTTATCTTAAAGTTTTCTTATTTTTTCTGATCCAGTTGGTGCAATAGCAAACTGCTTCTCTACTATTACAAAGAAAAGAGCATAACACTGTAGTCCCCAGCAATCAAGCTGCATTCAAAGGAAACTCCAGGTATCTTAGTAAGATTACTCCCCTGGTAATTGAAAATGTCTTGTGTGGAAACAGTTGGAGGAGTCAAAGACTGTCAGAAGCTACAGGGTGTGATATTCAAAGGCAGTAATAACAGCAGCAGTTGTCATTTGACTATGTGTAGCTTTCTATCCTGCTCTATGGAGCAGAGAGTTGGTCTTTGACAGAAAGCCACCTGAAGAGACTAGAAGCATTTGAAATGTGGATTTACAGGTGGCTGTTACGTATAAGATGGGTTGACAAGGTCAGAAATGAGGAGGTGATCAGCCACCTGGGAAAGCCAAGGGAAATCATCAAAACAATTAAAAAACAAAAATTAGAATATTTCAGACACGTGATGCGACACCCAGAAAAATACGGCATACTCCATTTAATCCTCCAGGGAAAGACTGAAGGCAAACGAGATCCAGGCAGAAGAAGAACATCGTGGCTTCAAAATCTAAGGGACTGGTCTGGACAAAACTCAGCAGCGCTTTTTCGTACGGCTGCCAACAAAAACAAGATCGCCAACATGATCGCCAACGTCCGATAATGGATATGGCACAAGAAGAAGATGGAGTTCTCTGTGTAGATTGGGGCTGTCCAACCTTGGCCATTTTAAAGACTTGCTGGCTTCCCCATGCTGGCGGGGGAATTCTGGGAGTTGAAGTCCACCAGTCTTAAAGGGCCAAGGTTGAACACCTCTGGTGTAGCTCATCTTGCATTTGGGGAAAAAAAAAAGACAACTTTAGCTAAGGTTAGATTATATCAAAACAACCAAATCTTCACTGAGTGGTCCTTTTTTAGATGTAGCAAGTGGAATAAACAGTTCCTCTATTACAGCGGTTCTCAACCTGTGGGTCGGGACCCCATTTGGGGTCGAAAGACCATTTCACGGGGGTTGCCAAACAATGCAGTCCGCCATTTTTTCCCCTTTTCCTTAGCTGTGCTACTCCCTTTTATTCTATTGGCTTTTGAAAGCCAACAGAATAGACTCTCTTGAATAGAGTCTAATTCTATTGGCTTTCAAAAGCCAATAGAAATTGTCCAGGCTGTCTCTGCCCTGCTGAACCCGCCAAAAGTCCCATTCTGCAAATGGTGCTGCAAGTTGTCTGCAGCGAAGGCGAGCTGTCTGGAAGTTTCCACCCTTCCCTGCTGAACAATTACTAAAAATGTAAGTAAAAGAGGGCCAGGGGTGGAAGGTGGGAGGCCGGCGGGTGCAGGGAGAGTTGCTGGCACACGTGGGGCCCGGCGGCTGCCTTACTTCCCTTGGGCTGGGCCAGCTGGTGACCCAGCCGGTGGTCGCCCTGCGCCGTCACTGCCCCTTGCCAGCTACGCCTCGACCAGCGCAGGGGGCGGCACCACGCATGCGTGGCACTCCCGGGCAGGGAAAGTCCTTGACGTACGCCTGGTTGGGTAGTCCTCGACTTACAACCGGTTGAGTAGTCCTCAACTTACGACCGGTTGGGGGTCGCAGCATTAAAAAGGTTGAGAACCACTGCTCTATTAGCTCTCCCACTTTTTTTTTTTTTTTTTTACCCAAAGTTCATTTTCAGCTGCTGCTTATCCAAACTGAAGTCCCACTAATTTCAATATGAAAGGAAGTTTAGGCTAGGCACCAAGCTAGAGACCAAGAGATCATGAATTCTAGTCCTTCAGTTTGGGGTTTTCAGCGCCATTTCAGCCCTCGGAAGAATACAGTGTCAAATGGAAGTGTTGAAAATCATGTCAGGAAAACTGCAAGGGTTTGTTCAGATAATTTGCCAGACATCAAAGGTAACTTGAAAGGACAAAAAAAAACTTCAATATAGAAGTGGGGGGGATATAAAATAGAAGACGAGGTTGTCAAAGACACAATGATTAGATGGGCAAAAAATTTTGGATATAATATAGAATTGGAGAAATGGGAAAAAATATGGGAAATAAATATAAAATTGACTATGTCAGCGGCAATCAAGGAAAACCAGTTGAAGATGTTTTACAGATGGCATCTTCCACTAGCAAAGCTTGCCAAGATGTTCCAGAACAATTTGCCAACATGCTGGAAATGTAAAAAAGTACATGGAACATATTATCATTTATGGTGGACATGCCCAGTTGCAAAAAAATACTGGACTACAATAAGAAGATGGATCAAAGAAATAATAGACCAACCCGTAGACTGGAAACCAGAGATCTTTTTGCTGGGTATTTTAAACAGAAAATATAGTAAAGAAATATGGTACTTAATTTTACATATAATAACGGCGGCAAGAATAGCATATGCACAGTGCTGGAAAAATGAGAATATACCATCAGAGGAAGAAGTGATAAGAAAAATCCTGGACTGTGCTGAGATGGACAAATTAACAAAAGAGATAAAAGAAAAGGAAGACACAGAGTACTATATAACATGGAACAAGTGGTATGACTGGTTGGAGACTAGAAATAATAGAGGAGAATAAATATGGAAAGGTCAAAAGTGAAAATATGTGTATAATAATGTATAATAATAATAATATGAATTATTCTTAGTAAGAAGTAGAGTATGAAGGAAGAAAAATGTAAATAAGAAACAACGGGGCAATAAGGACAAATATTCTAAAGAAGAATAAGGGGGGGAAATGTAAATAATAGATTACCATTACGTAATTGCTGTTAAAAAAGGGGGGAGGAATATATACTGTGTGTGTATGTGTGTTAAGTTTTGCTTTGTTTTGTTCTGTTTTATTGGTTTAAAATAAAATTAAATTAAATTAAAAGAAGGGGGAGAGTTAGTAAGGTTATGAATGGATAAACAGCTGACATTCCTGTTACGTTACTCAAAATATGAGATTCCATTCATCCTGGATTCCATTTCCAAAAGCCTATTCTCTTGCTATGGGTGGCATAATTAAAAAACAAAAACTTGCAAAGGGTATGTGAAGAACAACAATCTAGCTGGCACAGGAATGGAAAA